ATGTTCGGTACTGCATGAAAAAAAGGATCCTGAAAGAAATACATACTGTATACTGCTTTAAATAACCCCACTTCCCTTTTTGAATTTCCCTAGTTCTGTTGCATAATATTTAGTTTTTCTATAGGATGCAGTGCTTTTGTACACAGCAGATTTCATGCCCCATCTTTCTTCAGACCTTCCTTTTTTGTATTTGGGGACTATTATCTAAGGCATAGGATAGGGTTAGGATGGTTCTGCTGCTAGTACTTAATCTTAATCTTCAGACCTTCATTTTTATTTACTGTTTTTATCTTACTGCAAACTTTACAGATGTAAGGCTGTGTAAACTGTGAATACAAAAAAGCAGAATCTACCATCTGCAACACAAATTGCCCCCAAATATAGCTTTAGAAACTTCAAGTACATTTTTACGAATGAAGGGAAGAAAGATTCAATGAACAATATTAAAAAGTTTATTAAATAATTACATGCTTACATATCTTATAAATTAAGAGTATATATGGTTTTCTCATGCCCAAAAAATGACTGTTACACAGATACCACATAGGCAGTTTTTCATAATTTGCTATACCAGTGTCAGCCACATAGCAGGTCTCAATTTAGGACAGTATTACTTCTTCTGAAATGCTCACACAGATCTATGATGCCCTAAGAACTCCCTACAGCTTTATGAAATAGAAGAATAAATGTTCTGATCACTAGAGGCAATACCAGCAAACGGAGTGAACTGCTGCAGTAGAAACTTAAGATTCATACACTGATCTTTCCCTTTGTGTGCCCCTAAGCACATCTTATTTAGCATGCAGTAATTCCATTGAAATGCACCTGCTTCAGAAGTAGAACATGGAAGCAAAACGTTATTTTTAACGGACAGGTATAAAGGAATCAATTGTTCAGCTGAAGTTACAAAAACCTTCAAACTCAGACAGAATACTGTCATACAAAAATTACTAGATGACCAAAGCAGTACAATTCATGCAATAGTTTCACAAAAGATGAAACATGAACTTTAACAAGCAGACATCATTAGGATTCTTCTCTTCCTTCCCTGTTAACAGCCAGTGATATTCTGAAGGCGTCTCTCATTACGTGGTAAAACACTGGAATCTGCATTTCTGTACTAAATGTCCAGCTAACTCAACTTACATGATCACAGGTATATGCACAGCTGTATAATTGTAGGAACTAAGTTGTTAAAGGTGATAGCAAGTGCAGAAACAAAAGCCTGAGGGACTCTCATGTATGTATGAGAATGCCATGGCATGTATGACTAAAGCAGTGCATGAAATAATAACAAAGTGGGGTACTGAATACCCACTGGCATAGCTAACAGACTGGGGTAGGAACTTGAGTGAAAATTATATTCAATTATCTGAATTGTTAAACACACAGCCATGGAAGGGAAACTGAATAGCCGTCTTTGGTGCTTGTGCAGCCACTAGAAAGTCCTTGGCTAGAGGTACACAATGACATACTACTTCCATTACATGGAGCCAGGGAAAGACGAAGGTTTTCAGCAGGGCTCTGGGGCACTTTCCAGTTCTATACACTTCCCACTTTTTCTTCATGAAGGGAAAGCCCTTAGTGTCATATGGGAAAAAATGGTGATGAATCTCCACCAAATTCTAGTTGCAACCCAAATTCTGCAAGTTGTCACATAAATATCAAATGTTACTTATGACAATTGTCTCTCTTAGTGACAACAGTAAGACTGTTGCCTCTCCTTTCTTCAGGCTTTGAAAAACCATGATATAATCAGACTGTTGACTGGTAACCTGTTTACATTTGGGTTAAGGTCTCACACCCTGTACAGTACAGACTGCATGATCTCATCTCACACAGCTATTACTTAAGACATTCCACAGCGTGGTGTTGGCTTACATCTGTCTCACACTGTGAACAGTATCATAAAGGGAAATGGTTTAGTGGTAAGTGGCTAAGTCTCCCTGGTGTAGGGTATATGGGAAGTGAGTAATCTCTATTTACCTGATGAGCTCTTCACTTTACCACAGGGAAGTCTAGAAATTGTTTTTAAAAACAACAGGAACATGCAACCTTCAGAGCATCCAATGGCAAGGGAAGAGAATACAATGTATTTGCTGAGCTTCCAAGAGGTTCAAATACACTCTCATGATGGAGGAAATTTTCTTTCTTAGACCCTACCCTCACCTCTTCTGGTAAACACGTATCTGATTTATTCTTCTAGGGTACTAGCAGCAGGTATAAAAACATCAAAAGTGTAGCTAGCAATGACAAAGCAGGTCAAAAGATGACAGAAAGTGAAAGTATAGAAACATAAAGGATGTATTAGAAACCAGAAACAGAATTAGAAACAATAAAAGAAACAGAAAATACAGAGGAAGAGATTTAGGAAGACAATGTGTAATAACATTGACAGGTGAAAAAAAGCAATACAGGGAACAGACTGAGAATACTACTACTATAAAAACACAGGGGAAAACTACTGAGAAGATGAGAGGCTCATGCAAGAGATAAATGAAGAACGTTTGTGAAATACTGACACATATGCTTAAAAATATTGACTATGCTTACAAGACATATTGACACATATGCTTACAATAGATCTCCTGGACAACAAACCATTTTGGTTTATAGATCAAATCAGAATAAATTACCAAGACTTACCGAGTCAGTGGCCACTGGGTGCTTATTTCTTACTGCCTTGTGAATCCCAGTAGTAAGTTTTAGGCATTTTGTTTTCTTGCTTTGTGACAGCAATTTAAAGCTAGCAAATTGTCTTTTCTTGGGGTGTTTTATTGCAAAACAGACACACTGTATTTTTGAAACAATGTTTCTTTGGTTTCTGCTAATTGCTTTTACTGGACTTACATACCTGAAAAAAACTCTACTTGCAAGCATAAATATACAAGAGGCTCTTCTAAAGACTCATATACAGTGATTCACAATTCTAATTTAAAACAGATTTTGCAGAAATTCATAGTACGAGCTATAATAGATTATACTTAAAGTCAACAGATCTGCAAAAACCCATGTGCAATTGCTAAATAAATTGAGCTTGAAAAATAACTGATCAACTAGTACATTTACTTTTTGCAAGGCAATGTACTAGCAATTTGCTTCTATAGCTACTTAATTACTTATTCTCTACTATTTTTAATACTACTCCTAAGATCCACTGTGATGACAATTTCATTGGAACTAGGTCAAAACTATGGTATTCAGCACAATCTGATCTGAAGTAGCATCAGACGATTATTTCCTACGTTGCAGAGTAAGTAATTCTATTTTTAGCCTCTAAGGCAAGCACGCAAAATACATACATTTATTTCAACTTTAAAAACAGTATCACATGTGTTGTGGAAACAAAATTAGGACCTACAAATACAAGAAATTCAAAGTGTAAGGCAGACTCTGCTTCACATTCTACTTATGTTTGCTGCTCATTTCAGTATGGAAACAATATAAAAGTGTATCGTCAGTAACTTGTCTCTGAAATTTTCTTTTCACCATTTATGCACCCTAAAGTTTTTCACTTTATGTAATATTCTCTTTGTTTTCTTACCACTAAAAACCAAAACATGGTATGGTATCTTTGGGGAAGTGAGAATCTAAACAAAACAAGAGAGATGCCACTCTGCACCAAGATATGCATATCAAATGATAAAAGTGATAGGTTGAGAAGGTAACCAGCTCCATAGGACACCGAACTGCATAGGACAACAGGAACCCTATACATGGGGCAAATATAGCAGGAGAACAGCTTGGTGTGGTGATAACATCAGACCAAATCTGAGACCTGTGTCAGGCATATGCAGCTCTTCAGCTGCCTATATTGCATCAGCAAGATACTAGTAAGTTTGTCTTGACTAAATCCCATATAAAGTGTTGTGCTAGGTAAGAATCCTCAGGCTATTGTGCAGACAAATGTCATCCCAGGCCTCTCATGTCTAGAGCCCTGTTCCAATGAGCTTAATGGAAGCTTCATGGTGCCCTTCTGTTCTTCTGTGCTTTCCTCCATAGGAGGCTTCCATTCATGTACACCTGACAAATGGAGACTGGAATGATACGATATCATCAGAATAATTTTCATAGCTAATACAAAAATTCCTATGGAGACCATGGAGGTTTTTGCCACAGCTTTAATAACTATGCTATATTTTTTAATGATGGTCAACATCAAAAGGTCACCATCCCTTACCATCATCAATTTCTTTGACTACAGATGAGAAATTTTATGAGCTATATGCTACAGTGCTAAAGAGTAACTGAATATTATGGAGTCAATCTTCAGGCAGTCCTCAGATTCCTGGCCCAAGAAACTGAAGGCATAACATTTCAGACATAGTTTAGTCACATATGCGTTTTTATTACTGTTGATCCCTTAACATGGGAACCCTTAAACAGGGTTTAACTTAAAATGCTTTTCCTGTTATCTTCATGGCAGCAATGTTCTTTAAAATTTAGGCTTTGTTTCCATAAAAGAAAGGCAGTTCAATAAAATGCAAGAACACCAAGACTGCAAAAGCAATCTGTGAGGGAAAAGGGGAAAACCTAGGAAAACAGCAGTTCTGGGGCATTATAATTTTTATTAATTGTATAAAGGTCCACCTTGATTGCACTTCCCAGTATTCACTACTGTCATACTGCATGAAAGTATTTTTGTCCAGCTTGCATTTGTGAGTTTACGTCAGAGGAGAGTAAGGGCTTGAGCAGTTGTAACAAAAGAAAACAAAAACATCAGTGACTGACTATCCTGAGTTACAATCTTACTTTAAGACTTCAAATGATCACAGCCTGTCATTCTGTGAAACAAACACAGATATAACCCTAAACCAGATGTACTCCAGTCCTTAAAGTATCCTCTGAATTCAATTTAACAAGTGTATATTCAGGTATGTTCGAGCTGCATATGCATAGAAATGTGTACACAGATGTATAGTATAAGAAGCTAAAAAGTAAAAATTACTTTGTAGAGACAGAAAATGTTATATAGTTGTTTATAGCCACCATGTACTTACTATTTAGTTGAATCTGATAATTGATACTCCCGTCGTCTATCATAACACTCCTGAATCCCAGGGTCATTCCATAAGCTTCTTATTGCATCTACATATGGGTTTTCAAAAGTTGACACCTTCTCTACATCGACTTCTCGAACTAACTGTGCATGAGCCTAATTCAGAACAAAGAAAACAGTAAAATTTACTGAATTTTCTATGTTTGCAGATAGCTCATATACAGTGAACAAGATTAACAGGATCATTTTTCATATTGGCCATCGATGTGTATATGCAATTTGAAAAATGAAGTACCATGAAGAAGGTTGTGAAGATGGAAAAAGGAAAAAAATGTTGTAAGGAGTTTCAGAAATGAGGAAGAACAGAAAAAACTTCATTTTTTAATGGTAAGTATATAGATCTCGACAGGGATCAGAGTATTATTTACCTTTCATGCTAAAAGACACAGTTAAACAGAATACCTACAACCCATTCCACCAGCTGGACTAGTCATTAGCAACTGTACCCAGGACCCTTGGACAACATAAAGATAGAAAAGACAGTAAACCCCCCCAGAATACTCAAAAATGGATATTTTACCAAAATCTGTATTCATGTTAATGAAATTAATGATGGTGTAGGAAAGAAACAGTAATGTCCATTTATTGGGGAAGACCTTAAAGTAAACGGTGAATGAATGCAAATAAAAGTACTAAGTAAATTATGAATAAATGCTGATACAGTGTGTTCAAACAAAGACAAATAGTTCTAAATATAATATTATGACAGAAAGTAAATTAATAAATGTAGATATGGGTCCTTACTTCAGACTGTGCTTACTCCAATCCAGTATTATTTAGATGAAAAGGATGAAGCATTCACATTAAAATTTGTATTTAATTAAGTTAATTTTAAAGAAAGCTTTCGTTTTTATTTTTTTCAGGTACAACCGTAGAATATTATAAAACATGCTTTTTAAATGATGGCTAGTTAACCAACTTGACAGATTTAGACTCTGATGGTAGCTGACAGAATGGAAAGGAGGGAAGGAATTTGCCTTCCAAAGAGATTGCTAAAACATGTTCTTAATGTCACCACAAACATAACAGAAGTTACTACTGAAAAAGAAAAGCGAGATCATTAGAAATTGTCTCTAGTTTCAATCTGTACTATAAATTATGGAGATTCTTAAAAAGTAATGTCTAAAATTGGGAGTTGCTAATAGGAAATCTTCCCTAATAAATCCATCACCCTCCCAAATACTTAAAATTTACTTACAGCCAATAGAGTCAGAACTACCAAAGAAATATAGCAGCATGTTTTCTAATTTGTTCTGGTAGTATTATGTACATGTTTCAGTAACAGATACACAAATGTATGTATCTGTGTAGAGAGATATACACATGTAAACTACACACACACAGAGGTAGAGAAGACAACAGATGCTTGGTCAAGCAAAAAACCTGAGGGATTCAACTCATATCTAGTCTGCATTTGAGCTGAGGACACAAACCTCTTTCCATTTTACATTAGGTTAAGGTATACTGAAATGAGTGTTCTTGTTATTTTCTAATAAATTTATCCTCTGTTTACAGACATACAATCCTCTCTCCTCCTCCCTTTTTTAGACAGTCCAGGAAAATGATGCTACTGCTCATTACTTAACAAAATCTTACACCTGCAACTCTTGTTTACTTAAGAGAAAATAAAACCCTCTGAGTTCAATGTGAAAAATGTGTGTCTTCAAGATAAGGAGAACATATGTTCTCCGTTATTGGAACCCAAATCTCTGAAGTTCTAACAAAGGGTTTTTTCTTCTGGATCATGTCCACGCATCCCCAAAATGTCTGGACAAATCACAAAGGGTCCCTGTCTTCTCACACCAAGTAACAAGAAATGGTACTCTACTAAACACAAGCCAATGTTCTTGTGAAACAGGCTAATTTTTTTTTTTAATTATTTTGTATCTTATCAAGCTCAGTTCTGTATTCTATCGCCCTTATGTACTTCCAAAAGAATGATGGCCTGAATATTTTCTCACAGCTTGTGACAAACTGTGGCCAACTGATATCAAAATGCTAACAGAGCTAAAGAGTAACAAAAATTATTCAAAAGCTTTCATCTGAAATCCATCATAACTAAAGTATTTCTTCAACAGTTCCCTAAACATTCTCCAACAGGTGCTCAAGAATTCTACAGCGGTAGAAGAGAAAAATCTTAAAAGATAATTACTTTATTCAGTTACGTATCTAGACTTACTACTACAAAGTTGTCCAAGATTTTGCGTCACTTTATTTATCAGTTCTGTATGTTCTGCCATATAACTAGTATGACTTTGCACTATGTGACAAAACTTACAAAATAAACCATGATACATGCCAAGAAGTTGCATCCATCAGAAAATCAATTATTTTTAAAAAGAAACAGCATTCCCTCAATGAACACTGCTTCTGCTTCCCTGGGGTTTGCTTGGGCAGACTCCTTATAGCTTGTACACTATTGATAAACAGCTCTTCACATCAGTCCTGCTTCTCTTAAAAAAGTAATGTCCCTTCACATAGATTTCATATCTTCCATTAATCCTCAGTTACGCCTTCTTGTTCCCAGAGGTACTATACTTTCCTGTAGACACCAATGTTTCTTTCTTTAAGAGCCTTTGCCAGGCAACATCTTTTGCTGGCTTCTGATTTTCAGTGGCAGAGACAGAGATGAAAATACAGGATCTCATCTATTGGCTTAATTTTTCTCTCATTAGCCCTTGTACAAGTCAAAAGTATTCCTAGTGAAACCTCGTGATATGGAGAAGCATAAATTTAATGCAGAAGAATAATCAATCATGCACGATGTGTGGTGTCACTACTGCTAATTACTGGTTTTGGTTTCCTTCCACTAATATAAATAGCAAATTTGGAACATAACTTCTGATGTTAGCACTCAAACAGGAAAAAAATCTAAGGACTCACCATTAATCATGTTTATGCAATTATAAATGTTATCTAATCCTTTCACTTGACCCAAAAATCAACATTTTCTGGGGGGACAAAAAGAAAAGTCAAGCTTGTTGCCCCTGAGAAAATTGTACCTGTCTAGAGTTCTCTCTTTTGGGACACCAGTAATTGTTATCAAAGCATTACAACAAACAAACAAAAAATCCCCAAACGACAGACAAAACTTAAGGATTCTGTAAGCACCACTAAACTCCATCTGGTCATGAAGATGTAACTACTAGTTCAGCCGTAATGTTCCACAGACAAAACCTAGATGGTTTAGATGACTTTTCAGTTCAACACGCTTCTGACATTAGCAGTTGACATTTCCGTGGCCGTCTGGGAATATAATACTTGTAACAATTTCCACATTATTTGCCAAAAATTTTATATACACTCATTCAATTCTTTTTAGCAAATCACATCTCTCCTAAATTTAAAGAGCTTCTTCACTGATTTCTACAAGTATTAAAAAAAATGATCCCAGAATAAGAAAACTGGAGTTTTGGGAAATAGTATTGAATTCTGAAACCACAAAATCTGAGCCTGAGGAGATACCCAAATAGGTATCATTTCTCCTTCTTCTTTCCCCTCAGAAAACTACTGACAATGTTTACAAGTAATTCTGAGCTTGCATAGTGTTACAGTTTTATGCTGGTCTTTCTAGCAATACTCTTTTGGCCACAATCCAAAACAAGAAGTTTGGTTTTTTTACCCTACTTATTATCTTCATAGTATATGAAAGCTCTGGTGCTTCTTAGGGACAAAACAGAGCAGCCAATGGATCTGGTCTCATATTCTCTCTGTATGCACATCAACCATTTGGAGCCTTGAATCAGTGGCTACAACCAATGTAGCAAGCATGGAAAAGGTTTTATGTTTTTATATTCCTTTTGATATAGTCTCTGTAATTTTCCCAAATTAGCACTCCAATCTCCCAGAATTATTTATAACGTAACAGGATCTAAAAAAAAAGAGTTTGCATGAAGCATTTTTTTGTTGTTATTGGTTATTATCTGTAAAAAGCCTAGGATAATGGACCCAAACCCATGGCTTATGGGCAGTACAATGAAATTATAAGGATTTAAACAACTTATCCTGTGCCTTACGTTGGAAATTTAATTAATTTAAAATGCATCATTAAATGCTAGTTGTAATACTTTTGTATATATAAACACTGGAATAATGAATGTCTACACATATCGGGCCTGGGGTTTTAGTTTATTTTAGTTGGGCTCAGAGAAAACTTAGGAAGTAGCTGAATAAATAAGAAATTTATTTGTACACTGCAGTCAGAGCCCTGAAATTTCTTGCTGTCTTATTTACTTTTAAGCTGCACCAGACATGGAAGACAAGCCCCAAGTCACCACTACAGGGCTGCAATCAGAACATTCAAGCAAGCTTTTATCAACGATTGTATCAACATTTCTATACAGAAAATAGAAAAGGCTTCTGAAACTTACGTTTTTAAAGTCATATTATCAATATAGCCCCTCTCAAAAAAAAGCTGGTTTAACTTCTTGTCACCCTAGCAGATTCTCTTGCAAGTGTTAAGAGACATGTGAGTCATGCCAAAGGGAATGTTAGGTGTACAATTTAAATACAAAATCCAGATCTTCATAAATGTACTTTGTTACAGTTATCCTACCATTCTATTCTGAAGTTTCTGATCCTCTTTTTATAAACAAAAGGTTTTGATACCAACAAAATAAGATTTTTCTGATGTCAGGCAGGAGAGTAAAAAGTTATCGTCTTCTCTGATAACTAATTCACCCAGTGTGAATAACTGTTAGAAAGTTAGCTGAGTTTGAAAATTAAGCATACAAAAATACAGTTTCCCTTCAGGAAACATGAGATGCCCTCCTAGGAGATGAAACATATGTGCTGTTTCTTTAGGGAAAGGAAAGCTATGGGATGGTGCAATTACAGCAACACAATGTAGATACTGTTTGGAAGTAAATAGATCTGAAGAGCCCAAATCTAACATAGACTCATTCTGCTACAGCAAATTGCAGTATGGGGCAACAAAAGGGTATGATCATTTTTCTACTTACTGTCCAGCTTTTCTATATTCCATATATAAACTTTAGGTTGCCTGGCTACCACTGTTAAGCTGATGCCTAACAAAAAAAAGCAACATAGATACATAAACATTAACATTACTGTTACTTTGATAGGATATCTAATTC